TTGAGTGAGGGGGATATGGATATTTTCTACTTTTAAAATATCCCCCTCGTTTTGTCCCATCCAGACGTTTATCTCTAATTTCCTGTTCTCGCTTATCTCCTTTTACTGTTCATCTTTCTGTATCTGCTGGCTTTGGCATCTTTTGATCGATGGAGCTTTGATTGCATTCGCCTCGGTGTGAATTTTGCCCGGTGATTTCCCTTCGCTTTCAGTGAACAGGATGTCAGTCAGTGTGTATTCCGGCTGCTGATACAGGATCTGGTTGCCATAAGAGAAAATATGAGAAAGGAGATGACATGATGTTGGACTAAGTTGGAATTACAAAACTAACGAGGGACAATACTGTCATTTGTGGGAATTTTTAATTGGTGTTGGAAAGAGAGGAGAATACATGAGAAGAGGAGAGATGTTGCCAGATGACATTGTTCATTGTGGTTGTGTGTGTGTGTGTGTGTGTGTGTGTGTGTGAGAGAGAGAGAGAGAGAGAGAGAGATCCCTTCCAAAGCTCTGTGGGTTTCTCTCTTCCTGATAGGCCAGAGGTGTTCAGGTGTGTCCAATAAGGAGGGGCTATAGTTTGAATCTCTAACCAGTGATTGGCTGGAGGCCATTCATCTTACTGCCCTTTTATTGGTTCAAATATTTGAAACCTTCTCTTCGATATGCAAACCATAGAGACAGTTGGAGAAAGGGGAAAAGAGAGGGAGGAAGAGGAAGAGAGTTCTGCTCTGTGGGATCTTGACGAGAGTTTTTAATTGGCTGCTCTGCTGCAAAACTTTTAACTGTGCTGTAAAAAGTGTTGCGGGGCGAAAAGAAATGGCAGATATTCTTATTTTAACAATGCCCTGTCCTAAAGGCTTCCTGCTTTCATAATGACAGGCCTCCCCTTGAGCTTGTTACATTCAAAGCTCTCAATTACTATTCTCTTTAGTTGTGATAAATGTCAGCAGGATGGACGAACGGCCTTACACTAATGGAGGATATTTTTACAAGGAAAGCTTTTTGCAGATCTTTTTACAGCAAAAAAGAAGACACGAATTAAAATCCAGGATGAGTTAATAAAAAGAAAAGAAATGAAACCGGTTTGCTGTTTTCAAATATTAATGCATAGGCTCTAGATTTCAGCTCAGTGTTTTAGGAGTTGATCTTTTTTCGTGTGTAAAAGGGGGTGAAGTGTGTCTCTGTGGTGGGTTTGACGCTTGTGTGAAACCTGCTGCAGCTACAGATGTCACCTTGGTTTGCGGTTGTTTTACTGACCCTCCCTGTCACTAACTGACCAAACACTGGTGTTGATTTCACACCGGGGAGTTGGGGAAGGGGGGGGGGCGGCCACCAGAGTAGAAGTCGACTGTGTCTCTGCACAACAAGTTTATGCAAATTAGTAAAGGACATTTTAATCTATAAAAATGTTAAATGTGTTATGATGATTTTGTTATTATTATATTACAAAGAAATATTAATTATGAGCAAAATATGTTGAATGATTGCGGGGCTCTAAATAAGCTCTAAATTTTATTAAAAATAATTATTACATGTATTTCGTAACACAACCTCATATACTTTATGTAGACATGTAATTTAGACATATATAATGTGTGTATATATCACTGTGTGTGTGTGTGTGTGTTTGTTGTTGAAACCTGTGTGTATTGTAGCTCACGATGACAGCTGTCCGTAGACACCTGTGTGTGTCTGTGTGTGTGTGTCTGAGAGGGAGAGTGAGAGCTGCATAACCAGGGAAGCACACAGACAGCTGCCAGACAAATGTATGAGCTTTTTGTGTGTCCGCACTTGTGTGTGGTCACTTGTCCTCATACACAAACACGGGCGTGTCATTGGTGCGTCTTGCTTCACAGCTCATTAACAGCTCTTATCACCTCTGCTGCCTCAGCACACACACAGACGGCATCAAACCGTGTGGCCTGTGATATCTAATACACCCCACAGCGCAACAAATCCAAACCACAATGATGACTGAACCATTAGACTCCAATTATTGTGCAAATGTATTCACATGGATACACGTTTATTTGTGCTATTAGGCTGTAAAAGTGCTGTAATGCTTGTGTTAAGTCAACAGTGCAGATACTGTATGTGCCAGGTAATAGAGATAAAGCAGTGTGTGTGAAGTTAATAAATGATTCACCCTGCTACTTCAAACATGGTCAGATTAGGGCGCAGCTTTGATGCTCCCACCTCTTGTCTTTACTTGGAGGGTCATCTATGAAAACACTCTCAGTAGTAATAAGTCCTTTTAAACCTGTGTGTCCGTTTGTGCTCATCTGTGGTTGCCAGTGTGTGTGTGTGTGTGTGTGTGTGTGTGATAACATGCTTACACACACAGAATTCTCTTTTCCATGGCGTCTGTCTGTGACACACCCGTTCCATGGTTCAGCCCATCCTCTACATGTGTGTCATCCCATGAGAGCAGCTGGTGGGCTCTCTAAATAGTGTTGAACGGGGTTGCCCCTGGGGAGAGAAAGAAAACAAGCAAGTGTCTTGTAAAAGTATGTCAAAACTAAAATATGAACTATTTTATTTTATTACAGTCATTTCTGAGGTCACAGATTCTGCCCTCTTCTCACCATATACTTAGGTTACCACACGACTGCATCGTCAATGCAATCTCAATCAGGTTTCCCAGCACTGCCCTTGTGTTTGTCTGCCTCATTAATTCTATTTCACATCTTTCCATGACTGAGTGATCATTTCCGTCATGCTTCACCATTTTTGGATCCAGTGCTGGTCTCCAACAGAGCCATTTAGTGCTTCTTGGGCTTTCACACCAACGGTTCCCCCGCCATCCTGTGCCAGTCACACTGTCTCAGCTGTGCAGATCACTTTGGGAGGCGAGGACTGTAAATCATAGAGCACTGACTGTGCACAAGTGCTAATCTGCAATAGTTTATGTAGTCAAGAAATAACTTGGCTTGTAGCATCGGTGTTGAAGTCTCATGTCAGTCAGTGTGTTTAAGCTGTACGCTGCCTTTGCTTTCAGTTTGTTTTTAAGTGTGAAATAAAGTGGGGGGGAGAAACAATAAGCCCATCAAAGCAGAATTTTTTTTATCCCAAATCATGATTGCATATATACGGTGTAACTCCATGCAGGATATTTTGTTTAAACCAAGGAGCTGAAGAATCTCTGGCAGCATCAGGAATGCCATTGTATTCCCAAATACAGAGGGTGAGACAGTAGCCAGCAGATCTGTCTGTTAGCAGAGTGTTCTATGAAAACCTCCATTACAGCAGCCGAACACACCACAGCAGCTGCTTAATGTCACCGTCCTGCAGAGTGACTTGTTAATGTGCGTCTGAATTTGCATGTGTGCCTTTTGTCACTCCTGGGCCCACCCACCATTAACTTTGCTTTACTCAACCGGCTGACCCCCATGTTGCCTCCCTTGGTGGGTTATCCATCCTGACGCTGTTGGAGTTGACCTCCAGCCTGGATAGCCGTTAGCATGAGGCTAGCCGGACGAGCGGGCCCTTGCTCTGATTGACGGTGCGTCTGTGTTTGTGCAAAGAGAATGCGAGGTCCTGAGAAGTGACCTCAGTGTGTCATGAGAGTGACAGGGCGCCTGCACTCGAACCTCCACTGTGACTCTTTCACCCCTGAACCTACACCCTCGGATACACCACACACTCAAGTGCTCAGTATGGTGCAGCAAAGCTGTGCAATCTGAGCCATCTCCCTGCCCCTGCTTGAACAGTATTATACCCCCTGCCGATTTCATCTGGCCTCACCACCTGTTGTCAGCTGTATTTCACCCAGCATGTGCAGCCTATAGCCTTCTGCTTCCCTCCATAGGCACCAGAGCATACAGTAGTACAGAAGTATGTATAAGAACCAGACCCAGACCTCCCCAGGGGCAGAAATCCTAGACTGATCCAATTACTCCCACCCGAGGGTGGAATCAGACCGAATCTGCACAGACTGGCAACTACTTAATTTAATCTAGTAGAAAAAGTGTTGCACGGTAAACAAGTCGAGCTGTTGAGATGCACAGTGGAGAACACTGAGAGGGCAGAAGAGACAGAATCTGGTTTAACATTTATATGAGTTAAAGCTGTGAATGGGAAGTAATACAATCAGTTTTTAAGCCATGTTCAGGCTTTAAACTGACCAATATATATAAATTGTACATTTAGTGTTGAGCATTAACGTCTCTTTTCTGTTCTTCTACGTTTTAGGAGGTTTTCTTTGGATGACTCTCCCTTGTCATGTCAGCCATAAGACATCATTTATTTTGTAGTACCATTACAGTTCATTTCTTTCACTCGGATCCTCTGCTAGCGAGGATGCTCATGTTTTGCTTGGACCTTGCAGCTGTGAACTCAAGATTTTCTTTTATCAATAGACAGCACTGAATTAACAATGTATACTTTATGTTGTGTAAAACGAAAATTGAAACCCCTTGCTCATTGTCATACAGGTTGGCAGGACACATTAAAAAGAGCCCGCTTAAGTTGACCACATTTTTTTAAAACTTGCACACACATTTAAATGGTCTATCCTCTACCGTTTTACTGCTTAGTTTTATTCAAAACATGTTTCTCCATATTTATTGTGTTAAATACAGTGGGGTGATGGCAGTTAAGAAAGACCAGCAGCTCAGGCAGAAAATACAGGCAACATGATCGTGATATCTCTTTAAGTCTTATTGTAACATGATAGTAGAAAGGAAATAGGTAAAAAAATACTCTCTATTTACACATAATTACGACAACAGGTCTCCAATTGTATTCACAACTTTCTCTTCTTCTACTCCTTGGGAACATGCTTGGCTTCCAGGAGTGTGTTGTTGTTGTTGGCTGTTCTGCTTTCTTGGTATGCACTGTATTTAAGCACTCATCTTAATGAAAGCTGGCCTCATGTCAAGAATAAGTAACCTGTCTTTGTGCTTTTGTATCGGTCAGTTTAAGTTAAGTTATAATCTCTTCTTTTCTCTTATGTCTTATTATTTTAAAAGTGTATAACGGTGAAACTGCTCTCTTTCTTCCAGATGGTGTCCATACTGTTGTGGGCCGCTGCACGCTGCGCGTCACCATCATCACTGACGACATGCTGACCAACAGCATCACTGTGCGTCTGGAGAACATGTCCCAGGAGCGCTTCCTCTCTCCCCTGCTCAGCCTCTTCCTCGAGGGCGTAGCAGCTGTGCTCTCCACCAAACGGGAATCAGTGTTTGTGTTTAACATCCAAAACGACACAGACGTGCAAGGCTCCATTCTCAACGTCACATTCTCGGCGATGCAGCCTGGAGGCGTCCCGGGTAAAGGGACGTTCTTCCCCTCGGAGGAGCTGCAGGAGCAGATCTACCTCAACAGGACTCTGCTCAGGCTGATATCATCTCAGGAGGTACATGAACACAAAATATAAATTTAATATTTCAGAAATCCCTAACCAAATCAATTAATGTGTCCGAAATGTCATCCTCTCTCCAGGTGTTGCCATTCGATGACAACATCTGCCTGCGCGAGCCCTGCGAGAACTACATGAAGTGCGTATCAGTGCTGAAGTTCGACAGCTCCCCTCCCTTCATCGCCTCAGACACGGTTCTGTTCAGGCCCATCCACCCCATCAATGGGCTGCGCTGCCGCTGTCCCCTCGGTTTCACTGGGGACTACTGCGAGACCGAGATCGACCTGTGCTACTCAGGACCGTGCAAGAACAACGGCAGGTGCCTCAGCCGAGAGGGAGGATACACCTGCGAGTGCCAGGAAGATTATACTGGTGAGTGGGCTAAATGGAAGATTTTAACTTTTTAAAGAATGAATACTTATTATTTTACTTCTAAATGAAGTTATAAGTTACATTAGTGCCCATTTTTCTGCTCTGACCCAATTTAAGACAATCTGGGTATTTTCAACTGTTTATAGCACACAAATCCTAGTTTTAGCCCATCAGTAAACCACATGAGGAGCAGGATTTATTCAATTTTTTCGTAGATTAGACAAACATTTTTAAAATTATCTTAATATAAAGAGTTGATGAACTTTTAGGAGAATTTAACACAACTAATTTATTGATCTTTTACATCTGAATTGAGATAATCTACCTCTCTATTTACATTTATAAGATTAGATGTGCCTTTATTGATCCTCGATAGAGGAAATTCAAAACTGATACGGCAGCACAAGGACATTGTTGTAGGTGTTGTAAGAAAAACAAGAATAGAACAGAATGTAGAATAAATAAGATGAAAATAGAAATACTATATACAAAATGAGGCAGTTAAATAAATGTGCAATGTAAAGATAAAAGTTAAAAGTTATGTGATTTGTCAAAATTCATTGTGCAAAAGCAAAAAGAAAGCTTTTGCACAACTACACTACACTGTTATGTGCTTAATACAAATGACTATGTTGTAGTAATGTGTATGGAACATGTTTTTTTTCCAAAGAAAAACAGTGAGAGTCTTTTTAAGTAAGTGCGATCTTTCCTCTTGTGTCTGACAAAGGCTTTAACGACTTGTACAAAATGACTCAACTGACAGGTTGTAAGAGCTCTCAGCCACCTATTGTTGTAGCTTGAGGTCGACCCCGGTGCAGGGAGCAGAAAACGTGCTTTGTAATACTGTAGGTGTACAGTGCAGTTGATTTATTGCTGTATAGGTGTGCGGAATGCTGACGATACTGGTTGAACCAGGTCCGACTCGAATATCAGTTAATCCATCAACCTAAAAGCACCTTGGCTTTAATTAAAACTCTATATAATCTTGATACAGTGAATTATAACTACACTAAATTATAACTAAAGCAGCTTTTATAAATATTTTTGTATAAATAACGGAAATTAGGAATATTGTCTCTTCCTGCCCGGAAGCCGCCTGTAAACATGACTCTGCACTCTATGGGAAGGTTCTAAGGCTTTCATCGTTTCTATTCAAATCATTTAGCGAAATATTTCCCGATGTCAGTGATCTTCCTCCCATAACTTCCCCCAGGTACATCTGATAGCTGACCGACTGTCTCCGCTCCTTTTTGTCTCCCTAATAGTCTACTGGGCCCCTGACAGCCTTCATCCCTCCTTTCCCCCAACACTCCACCTCTCCTCTCCTTCTCTTCCTCTATCTTATCTGATTTAATTACCTGATTATAGCTGCCTTTGTCACTCACTGGCCGTCTCGCGCCTTCTCCTCCTCCTCCGCATGCCCATTTTCTCAGCTCGTCCATCATATTTTTTCCCCTTACCTACATCTCGGTGTCCCCGTCTAGAAGGTCACAGTTCAACTCAGATAGCCAGGGCCCATCAGGGGCCATTATGGGGCTGATGACAGCGGGGAGGAGGCCTGGCTTGTCCTCCTTGGGTTACCTACATTACAGGAAAACAGATCCTTATAATTCCCCCCCTCGGAAAAAAGGATTATGCTGAGGAGAGAAGGGCCATTAGCTGGTTCCAGGCAGTGGTGTTGGGGTTCTTTCTGTGGGTATCCTGGCTGGACAGATTTTGTCTGGACAGAAAGTTGACACACAACACTGCACGGGACATAGAGGCACCCACTGCAAATAATATTACAGTCAAAAAGAGGTCTCCTGCTGCATTAGTGGAGGAATGTAAATGAGGCACAGGCAGGAAACTGGGCCCAATTCCCCGATTCTGAGCAAAACTAGATCCACGTGGTCATTTTGGAAGAATTTCCCATGAGAGTCACACTGCAGTAAGTAATAAATTAGATAATAATATTAAAAAGATTAATATCAACATGCAGCATCAAAGTTGGACCTGAAACCAGATCCTTAAAAGTAGGTGCACACACAGAGGACCTCCTGTAAAGAGATCTTCTGTAGGGTTTGATTTGATTTAATTTTGATCCTGAGACATACTTGAAATATAGTTGAAATAGATGTTGAAGAGGTGGGTGTACACTGAGGGAATTTTTACATGCAAATTGTAGGAATGCAGTTTAGTGTTCTAGACTGGATATTTTCTCACACTTCATAAATCCAAGTTGCAGTGATGCTAAGAGGGATTTAGCCAGTAAGCATGTATCTGATCTTCATATGGTTGAGCAGCAGTTATCAGCAGGAGCAGCTATGTGTTGGGCTTAAATGTCTCATCTCTCCTCCACTCTTAACGTCTCCTTTTCATTTCTTTCTTTTCTTATCACTCCCTTCCACTCTCTTCCACTCTCTGTACTTTATCTCCCATCCTCTTTATCTTCCATCCTCTTTCTTCTCTACAAACAGACCTGCGCTTCCCAGAAAAGACATATAAACAGAGCTCGGCAGTTTGCTGCTAATGTTTAGACTGAGAACGTTTTTTTTGAACTAGTGTTTGAGAAGGGACTTAAACAACAAACCACTGAAGCTGCTTTTAACCTGCAGAATAGTTTGTTTAATTTAATTTAATGTTCAGTTCAAACGCACCTTGTTGAAACAATCAGCTCTAATGAATGTTTGAATATGGGGCCTATTCAAACCAAGACAGATGTCAACCACAGTTAGAAGTAAAATATAAAAACACATGTGATACTCTCTCGCAGGTGAACACTGTGAGCTGAATGCATCATTAGACCGCTGTGTGCCCGGCGTGTGCAAGAACGGCGGTCAGTGCGTGAACCGTCTCACAGGCGGTTTCATGTGTGAGTGTCTGCCTGGGGAGTACGAGAAGCCCTACTGCGAGATGACCACGCGCAGCTTCCCCGGACAGTCCTTCATTACCTTCAGAGGCCTGCGGCAAAGGTTCCACTTCACTGTCTCTTTCATGTGAGTCATTCTTCATTTGTTCCCTCCTGCTCCTTTCTTCGTTAATTACCACAAACGGCAAACACTCCCTTTCTAGTTATTATGTCTGGATGAAATTCAAGACTACGCCTGTCACACTTTTCACTCTGATAAAAGTGACAGAGTAATAACTCAATTTCAAACAAATCTCTTGCGAGAGACTTTTAGGATGAAATGACAACTGTCACAAGCAGCTGTTGTCAGTTGTAGCTTTATAGAGCTCGCTATGTGTTAACTCTGTGGTTTAAATGGACATTTTAACAGTGCCAGTTTGACGTTTTTAATAAAATATGGCAATAGAACAACAATACATTTTTTTAATTAAAATATAACATACATATATATACATAACATACACCTTACACTACGAAAATGTTGTTTGTATATTGTGCAGTGGTACAGGAAGATTGCACAAGGATTTGTGCCTTTGTAATTATATAGGCAGGTATTGTATACAGACTGAATATGAGTATAAAATGCTATAATAATAATATAAGGAGTTTTTTAAGCAGCCGTATTGACATCAAGGTAGGAAAAGCACATTTGTTACGAATAACATTAACAATGGTTCGTTCATGCGATTATTTACACCAGTATTTATGCTACTTGATTATCTATTAGTTATGTAAGGATACATATATATAACATCAGACTGGTTTGGGAAAAGCTAACAAAAACATTGACAAATATTACCTATAAATACTAGCTTGTGAGAATGAATTACGTTTTTAAGCTACAGATGTTGCACCAAATTTGAGCAATTCCCTTCATTGAGTATTGTAAAGATTTACAAAAAAAAACAAGTACAAAGTACAAAATCTTGGCTCTTAAATCATTTGGATGAATTTTCTGTTTTGCTAAAACACATATATTTTCATTGGAGACCGTACCAGCGGTACGTAGCAAATATTGTAGCAAATGATAATCAATGGAACTGCACAAATAAACATAGTTGGGTTTAACTGTGTCAACTGGGGCGTATCGAGACATGTGCACACTTTTTTCATTGTGCCTCAGTTTCCTCGTCTCAGTACATGCAGGTATCTACACATGGGAGAGCAGGGAAGACACACACTCCGCCTAAACGTGCAAATTTATGAGGCGTGTTTGTGTTCTCAAACAAACTGAAACTGCTGCAGGTAAACAACCCTGGTCCGGCAAGTTTCTGACTCTCACACAGAGGTAAGATCAGTTTAATAGTGTGAGTTTATCGGCCACACAGTGACGGTGAGGGGTTTTTGCAGTGTGGTAAAAACAGGAAAGGCTGTGTGATGAGTTTCCCTTATCAGTGTTTGGCTACAGCCATCCTGACTTCCTGCCCTCCTGGCCTCACTGGCATCTGCCGGTTGACTCCTCTGCCCTCACCTTGCGCTCCCGAAGCACACACAAACAAGCCACGCATGTGAACTTTGCACACCCGTAGAAAAAACACACGGGAAGGTACTGGCTCAGTTACCAGGTACTTCGCCCTCTCTCACATGTGGCCATGTACATGCATCATCTAAAGCAGGGGAGCTGCTTCCTCTCTGCTGCCTGCCGGGTATACACATCCTGCCTTTCCTCTCCAAGAGACTTTTCCTTAAGAGCTCCTCGGCCCTTTCATCCTGAAGCTATCTGCAAGGCGTTTAACTGCTCAGTCTGTTTGAGTTGGAAAGGTGCTTAGACATGTGACAGGAAACTTAAGAATTCAGTGAAGAGGAAAAACAACTGGAATTCACTCAACCTTTTCTGTTACACCTCGTTTGGTTTTAAGTCTCACTTTAGAAATTAAAATCTTTTATACAGCTAAAAGCTAAGCTCATTTTGTTGTTATTTTTATCTTTCTGAGACCTTCCTGTATGCCACCATATATAATAATATGTAATATTTATTTCATATTTAGAAATAATTGAATTGTTCATTATCCCAGAACTTTTAACTTGCCTACTTTGACTTTGTTCAGGATTCACAGAAATCTGACTAAATAAGGGTTAGGGTTAGGGTTAGGGTTAGGGTCACATTGTTCTTTTTTAATGTCATCACCTTCTCTAAAACCCTTTTATTGTAACCATGACTCCTTTATCATTATCTTCATCAATTACTTTTGTTTGATAAATATCCTTGTGTTGAATTGACAGAGAGTATTTAGGAATAATAAAGTACCTTAAAAAGCACATCTAAAAAAATCCTATTCATCTTTGCAGGTTCGCCACAAGAAAAAGAAACGCTCTGCTTCTTTACAACGGCAGATTTAACGAGAAACACGACTTCATCGCCCTGGAGATCATCGACGAACAGATTCAGCTCACCTTCTCTGGAGGTGAGGCCTCACCGTGTGTGTGTTATCCTGCCGGTGCATTTGTGGTCACCACTTACTGTAACTGTACTGTGCTGCACTGCAAGATTAACTCGGGTGTAAACACACATTATCTAAAGTGACTTTCACAAAGAGGTCGCTAAATAATTCTTATCAGCGTGCGCTTTCTTTTGAAAGAGTGTGTGTAAGTCAGTGTGTGCATGTATCCAAATGTTCAGGGTTGATGATGGCCAAAAAACACCTTCATTACACACCCACATACGCACACGCACACGCACACACACAGTTCAACCCGATCAAACAAACAGCCACACTGATTGCCAGACCTGGTAACCGTTGGATTGCAGATCAAACACATGTTCCTTGGACTGGTGACTCTGGTTCTCAGACTTGCTCCGCTTTCCCATGGTACCGCACAGGGAGGAATCCAGTTCAATATGATTATGTTGGGTGAAGCCTGTTTGGGAACCAAGCCAAGTCCTTGTTCCCTGCTTCAGATCTGAAATACAACTAAATGCTGAACATCAAATCAGACACCGGCGAACGTGCAAAGTAGGACTTTATTTACAAACCCCTTCTTTGCACTTGGTTCTATTTCTCACGTGCACAGTCAGTAAAAAGACATAATTTATTAACTTATTAACACACACACACACACACAAAGCCTGGCATTGGTTGTCAGAGTTGCTGTACGGCTTATTGATTTCCAGAGCAGTGGATTCCTGCCCAGGCTGCCCCTGCCTTTGACAAACAGAGTATAACTCCCAGTAAATCTGGTGCCATTGTGCTCTACAATCTTCTCACTGAGAGCCATTGATACCGCAGACTAATTCTGGATTTCCCAACAGTTGATTTACGACCGTGGTGCGTATCTTAGCGTATTAATCTGCGTACGTCAAGTAAGGACACACAGAGTTTTCCCTTTAATAGCAACTTATCGACAACCTGCAGCATATATTGAGTGAAGTAAACATTCCTCCTCCTCTTGCCCACATTAAAGCAAGACAATTTAAATTCTGAAAGATAAGAAGTCCCCTTAAATTCTATAAACCAGCACCAAATTGCCCACACTAATGCTGCTTTCAAACATGCACTGAACTTCGGACATTCCGCTTAATGTGGACATTTGCCAGAGTTTTTCCTGCTAGACCCCAAGTAAACTTTCTGAAGAATAAACGAGTGAGCCCACGTGAGAATACAGCAGGAGGATGTACGGAAAATTTTTACAGGAATAAAAAAGAGTTGGATTCCAGAGCTTCTGATGATAAGAATAGCCCTGTAAACAAAAATACTTCATTTCTGCAGCGGAATGTATACGTCATGCCCGGCCTCCTGCATGCTCTGCTCAGATGTCACTCCTCTGGCCCCTAAATACGCCTGATTTTTTACATCCAACATTTTTAAAGAAAAAAAGCTGTATCTTATTGTTTAAGAAATATGATACAATGATAAAATATACTGGATCCACCCCTTTACATAGACACCTGCTCCACCCCACTTTAAAAAAATTTAACAAAGTGAACATCATCAGAAAACTGGTTTGTTTTAGCATCATCACTCACAGAAAAGGTTCACATACTGTTGTTTGAAATTGGTGAATATATTTATGTGGAAGATCTGACTTTGCACTTCTGCTCTGGTTCTTTCTTTCCTCTTCCTTCCCCTCATCTTTTGTCTCACCCCCACGTTACCATTTTCATTTCACTCACTACCTTCTCTCCCCTCTCCCTCTCTTCACTCCTCTCTTCCACCAACTTTACTCCCATCTTTCGTTGCCTCGTCACTCTCCCCGCTCTTCCTCCCTCCCTCCTTCTTCCCGCCTTCCCTTGTTACCCAGGTGAGACAAAGACCACAGTGTCTCCCTACATCCCAAGCGGGGTTAGCGACGGCGAGTGGCACTCTGTTCAGCTCCATTACTACAACAAGGTAAGGAACTCAATCAACCAACTGACCGGCTGCGGCTTCTGCTGCTTCAGTAGGCCTTTTAAAAACAGCCTCTTCAGCTCATGAAAAATGAGATGGGGGCTGAAAATATTCCAAAAAATATATAAAAGTTCTATATCTTAGTTGGCTCTTGCTAAGGCTGAACAGTGATGTTGTGGGAGTGAAGAGGATGATATGTGGCTTTCTTTGAGGGTTTCAAGGCGGTTGACCTTGGCTGCTGATTTTGGAGATTATCGTCAGAGTACAGCTTTGACTAGTGATGTTAACTCTGAGGAGAGATCACAGCTCTGCTCTTCTTAGGCCTGGCTTCAGCTTCAGGGGTTAAAAGTTCACTGTCTGTACGCTCAACAGCTTAAATACACAAGTGTCTCTGAGTCAATGCAGCCTATAGATGCTTTTGCAGTGGAACAACCTTAACCACCAACAAGAGTTTTTCTATCTTAGTTCACTTCATACTCAGAGTCTAAAGTCATTTTTCAAGATGTTCCCACGATGTTCGAATCTCAGAATAGAGACAGCGTTTATTTCACAACCTGATCTCAAGTAACCACTTCAGTTGTGATATCATATTAGAAGGGCTTACTGTGCAGTCAATTGCTGGTGTTGTTTTCTAACAAACTTCCAGAGCCTGTGGGCGTTGTTCTTATAACATTAAACCAGACTGGAAATAAGATAACGCCGGCCTTCTAAGGAGATACAACAGTATAGTTGTGTCTGGTTATTGTACATTTTCAGTATCTGCAGTTATAATAGCATTGATATGCATGAAAACTGTGAATTTAACCAAACTCCAAAATGAAATGACACATCTCAAGGGGTGGATCCCATAACAATACATCTCTAACCAGTCCTTCCATCCATTCATGTGATTGTGAACATGATATCTCAAGAACGCCCAGAGGCAATCTCTTCAAACTTGATACAAACATTATCTGAGACTCACGAATGAACTGATTAGAATTTGGTGATCAAAAGTCGAGGTCCCTGTGGTCTTATAACTCATGTTTCTGGTCTTGTAAACACAATATTCCTCAAATTTGGTATGAAGTTTTTGGTGGTAGAAGGTCATGGTCACAGTCATGGTGACCTCATGTTCTTGTGAATATATCACAAATAGTGATGTTTCCCATTTCACCAAGGAATATACTTATTGACTGTTATTAAATTTCTTTTAAATCAACAATCACATATTACATACGTCTGGAAACAAAATGTATTTCGACTAAAACTGCACTTGTTAGCAGAGGCATAACCCCAGGGTGGTATTTCGAGGTTTCCCCTGAATCAAAGTTGAATGAGCAGTTAGTTTGTCATCTTCCCAAAGTGAAGTTAGTGGTTCTAACTCAAGCATATGAGATATGCTATGTTCTGTCTTTATCTCCTATCCTTTCAAAGCTAGTATGCTTTCAGGTATGCATGTGCTGTGCTGTGCTGTGCTGTTACATCAATCTTTCTTTATTTCATCATTTTCCCCTCATGTCTTTTCTTCTCTCTCTGGCTCTTCCTTCTTGTATCAGACTCTGGGAGCTGTAGCATCATCTGACTTGACCCAACACCATTGTTTTGCAACTTGTTAAAAAAAGAGTTGCTGCTTCTTGACCCAACGCTAGCCTGCAATGCACAGCATCTCACATTTCACATGCCGTTGGCCTCTTTGTTTCCAGCTATAGAGCCCATAGCATACTCGAAGGGGACAATACCATTCTGTGTTCGCTGCAGGGTGACACCTGTATCTATTGTTTGAGGTGTATTTTTGTTGTATGTCCCTCTCTTCGACGGCACTGCCTTTATGATTCTTGGGACAATGGCTGAAGCCTTGTAAAGCTCTTGACAACCACAGATATTATTCGCAGGATACAGACCAATGGCACCAGAGACTTCTTTGTTTTGTTGTCTGTCAGGTTGTCTGGTGTTTGTAGGGATCGCCATGGAAATGAGAGATTAATTTCCACATACAAACAGATTTCCTGCCTCGTTCCTCTTCGATGGAGTTGACTTTTCTTATTTATTCAGCTTTACCGATCACATAGGCCTCCTGTTTGCTGCTGTGACATGCAGATACAAGTAGAATCTGCACACACGCACACACACACACACACACACACACACACACACACACACACTATTACATGGGTTTATGGGCATATCCTTGTGTTATTAGTTTGTAAAACAGGGGGGTGGGTGCGTTCCACCGATGTCAGACTTAATGAAGACCAGTGATTTGCAGAGCTGGTGACACATTCCGTTAAATTAGCCTGAGGCTTGACTGCAGAGCTGATGCAGGGTCAGCTTTTTCTTCACGTGTTGAATGAGCAGAAGTCAAACTGACTGATGGTAAACCGACATGAGTTGCTGCAGGGATTAGTGGAAATGTATATGGCAAAACGCGGTAATGTTCTAACAATAGATTAGATGTGTTGACGTGTGAATGTACTGACGTGAAGGAAGGCGCATAGTCCAGAGAGACTTGATCCCAAATCTTAAACAGTGATGTAATACAGATCCATGTTATGCAAACACATAAATATTCTCTTTCTTTTCTCATTAGCTGTTGTAGTTACCTGTTGCACTTAGTTTACTATGGTTATAAAATATTTAAGTGTTTAAATGGAGGTTATTTTATGTCAAAATT